GGCCTTAATAAGTAGAATAAGGCTTTTGGGGTATATCATAGTATAACAAGTCTAATCAGGAACCCCAAAAGTAGAATAGGTAATTATTTAGGCCCGTATATTAGTCGGACCCTACAGAACCCTTCAGCCTTCGGCAACTTGCAAACCCCTTTTCTGAAGGCCCCAAATCCAGGGCTCACAACCCTGGGTAAAGCCTTAAACCTTAAAGCCCAAAACCCTAAACCCTAAACCTTAAAGCCCAAAACCCTGACCCTAAAACCTTAAAGCCCCAAACCCTGACCCTAAAACCTTAGAGCCGAAAGCCTTGAAGCCCTAAATCCTGAACAATGCTAAACTTTCGACCCCTTGATTCCCTAGACCCTAAACACTTTGATTCCCTAAACCGCCTAAACCCCTTGATTCAGAAGGCCCCCGTTGGAGGCCTGGAGGCGCCAGGAGTGGAAGACGCCCGCTAAGAAGCCGGCGCCTGGGGTTTAAGGCTCAGGTTTGAGGGTTTAGGGCTGGGGTTCAGGGTGTAGCGCTGTAGCGCTTTTAGGGTTTGGGGTTTAGGGTTTAGGGCTCAGTGCTTTAAGGGTTTGGGGTTTACTGGTGTAGGTGACTCAAACCTCAAGTTACCATGATCGACCCAGAACTCAATCCTGGCCGAGGTATCTTGAGCTGAGTTGCAGCACCTTGTTTCAGTTTTTCATAATAAACCTAGGGTTTAGGGGTTTAGGGTTTAGGAACCATGAGCCCAAATCCCTGAAACTAGTATGCCAGCTACCTTTATTTATGGATATTTGCAGATGCTAGCTGAAGATGCCGTACCACGCAAGCACAACCATGTGTATGTTTGCTACATAATAATCCTACCACGGTTGCTAAACCCCACACCGTACACTCCAAACCCTAAACCTACGTTGGCATCTCAGATTGAGCTCCGTAAGTCCTCGTGAAGTAGCAGTATAAAGCCTCCAAAAGGCCCCTACAAGGCCCTGCGAACGAAGAAATATGGGGCCAAAGGCCCTGAATAATTAGTTCGACTAGGGTCTTGGGGCATCTTATGCTAATTGCTCCATCGGGACTGCAAGGGGATAATCTACAAGCCTGAAAGCTTACCTACATGATTCCTCAGCGTTGCTTGTTGTGAACATACCGTACTACGAGTTCAGCCCGAAACCCAGTCCTATTATTGAGGCCCCTGTATTGCCAACTCGTCGAACTGTTGAAGTATGGCCGAGCCCTGACCGGTATATGATGGAACTATGACAAAAGGATGATGAGACCGACTCTTCCGACAGATATAGGGTCTTTCTTGGGTATTTTGTGGCATTCTTATATTGGGGATATAAGGGGATGTCATCATTCAATACTCATGAGGGTTCCGTAAGAATTATACCTAAATACTGTAACAATGTAGCCCAAACCCCGCTCTGATTGTTGCGGCCTCTACACTACCAACTATTGCGACCTCTATGGAAGTTTCTTGTCAAGAGCCCAGGCGCGAAGGATCAGAGCGCTTTCGAGGTTCTGAAGGAGACGCCTTCGGAGAGGCTTGAGAAGGGTGTCTAAAGCTTCATATCTTTTTATGTGAGCCGTATGAAAGCATTGTTTAAATACTCTAGAAGGGCCTCAGAAGAGTGCTACATGGTTCTATAAGTGCTAAAGAAATTGATCCCTATAAGGGGTTTACGAGGGTTTTACAAAGATTCTACACAGGCTCTAGTAAGACTCTCATGGAGGGTTATGCAAAGAAGATCGTTCATTCAGCCTCAAACACGATTGTACACGTCTTTGTCCTTGCAGATTGGGCAAAGAACGACTTCCCAAACTTTGTAAGGCCCACCTCCTTGATCTCCACGAAACTGTGGCTTGTTGCCATTGCAAGAATTCAGCTTTAGTTTCTTCAAGTCCTCTTCCGGTGGTCCAACCTGTTGTAAGAGTCGACAACTTCAGCAGCTGTGGTCAAAACCAATTGGCTGTACTTGCCTTAGGATAAAGCCACGTGTGCGGCTCGCCTGTTTCAACGTGACCACAGTGTCGCACTTTCGGATGTCGTGACCCACTGCAAAGGACATGTCAAGCACGTCCTCGCATTTGGCTCGGCAAACCCATGCTCGTCCTCATCGACAGTCCCAGCCGTAATGTTCTGTGACACAACTGAACAGTTGCTTAATATAGGGGCCTTACCCTAAACCCTAAACCCTAAACATAACCAGAATAGGGTTTTGGGCTCCATCCCTTTATCCTACAGATTGGGGAGGGAGCTCCGGTGCCTGAAAGCGGAATCTAAAAGGCATAGCTGCGACAGCACGGCAGCCGTAAAGGCTAGCTAGCTAATTGCGTGACTTACACCTGAGCTACCCTCACCCCTAAACCCTAAACCCTAAACCCTTAGCAGCATTCTTTGTTGATTCACCCTCGTTTTCAGAAGCGCGGAAGAATGAGCCCGAAGATGCATCACTCAGAACCCCCAAGCCCCGAACTCCTCTCAGCCTTCAACCTAAAGCCCTATAAGAACCCTCCCAAAATCCTCCCAAAATCCCTGTGATAAAGCTGTGAAATCCTATAATCCGGCTGCATGACTCTATGGCTATGGAGGCCCTCTATAATCCGATCTAGACACCCTGGAACGGAAGCCCAGAAAACTTCCAGTCGCCGAGCCCTAAGCCCTAAGCCGTAAACTCTGGGCCTATGTAGCATTTAAACATCCGAAACCCTAAACCCTGAACAGATATAAAGTATATAAGTATAAGCCACAAAAGATTCTAAACCTATAACATCCGATCTACGTATCCACACCCTAAACCATTCTAACCTCCTATACTAAGCAACAACGAAAAGCTACTAAACCCTAAACCCTAAACCCCTAAACCCCTAAACCGTAAACCCCTAAAACCCTAAACCACAAACCCTAAACCCCTGAACCCTAAACCCTAAATCATCTACGCAACCTAGACGAAAGCCCCCACAAAAAATCGACGTCGAGGAGCTTCGTGGTCTCCACCATCCTCGCGAAGCAAAAGAGGGGACAATCTATAATTCAGGGGCCTTGATAATTAGAGCAGGGTGCCTTTAAGGGTTCCTTTAAACGGATTGCTAAAAGGGGTACTATAGGGGTTTAGTGTAGGGGCCGTAATAATTAGAATAGGGCTTAGGGTTCTTTATAATAAGGTTTAGGATGGCTTCAGGGTTTTAGTTTTTAGGATTTAGGGTTTTGGTTATATACTACCATTATGGATCTAAGTCCCGAAAGACCATCCCTATTATGTCTTTGGGGACCTCATTCTATAGTAGTGGTACATATGGACAGTCTTGGTGTTTACTCTAGGGTTACGTGACGGAGTACTAGAAGCATTAGTACCCTAAGCCTTAAACGCTGAACCCTAAACCCTCAACCCTAAGCCCTAACCCGAAGCCCTAGCCCTAAACCCTGATGCAATAAGAGATACTATCAGGGTTGTTGTGGGATAGCACTTCAAGACTGTGGGTCTTCGGTGCTCTATGCTTTAGGTTTAGGTATTGAGGTTTTAGGGTTTAGGGTTTAGGGTTTAGGGGAGGGGCCTTGGGCCCTAAACCCTAAACCCTAAACTCGAAAGCGTAAACCCTAAACCCGAAACCCTAAATCCGAAACCCTAAACCCCAAATCCCACATGTCTCGCTTGTCTCAGCTGTCTCGGCTGTCTCGGCTGTCTCACCTGTCTCAGCGGGGCGGTGCAGTGGGCCCGGGATCGAAATCTCGCAGTTGCGGCACGGCCAGTGGCACCGGAGGACGGGTTAGTGCATTGGGGCTGAGGCTTTACGGTTTAGGGTTCAGCCTGAGTGCATTACTCCTGGACTCGAACTTGGGTCTGTCTCGGTTGAGGCTTAAGGGTTCTAGGTTGGGAGGTCTTCGAGCTCAGACAAGAGGGTTTAGGGCTTCAGGGGTTTAGGGTTTAGGGGCCTGAATAACTACCAATACTATTTTTGGGGGGTCATTATCATAGCTACAGCACTACATACCCCAAAACCCGATTCTAATCATTGAGGCCTCGATGGTATCCGGAAAACCACCTTACGCCGACATTGTTCACATCTTTTTTGGTGATGTCAACACCATTCTGCAAACCCTGTTTAGGGTTCAGAGTTTAGGGTATTGGGGGTACGTAACCGAGACCCTAGAGTGGTTTGCAAAATGTACGGATTCCAACTTTACTCTGGTTTCAAATCCGCGCAAACACTAATATTTAAGGGTTTGTGAGAAACTACGTAGATCTCCAAATGTTAAGAGAACCGGAAGGGTCCATGTACCCAGATAGTATATACTTTGGCCTTAAACTAGTCCTTATATAGGTACCTTGGGGCCAAAGTATATACTATTTGGGCACATGGACCCTTAAACCTATAAACCCTATAAGAACCATTAAAGCCTGAACCCTTTAAAGGAACCCTATTTGGGCACATGGGCCCTTAGGAACAAAACACAGACCCGAACTCGAAGACTAAACCCTAAACCTTCACATGCAAAACACGACAGAAGCCCTTCAAGCGCCAGGAGCCCCAAAAGCCTCAGAACCGTGGAAGCCACGAAGCCCCACACCCTAGAATCCTGCACCTGCGAAGCCTGAAAACCCAACAGCTTCACGGTTTAGGGTTTAGGGTTTAGGGTTTAGGGTTTAGGGTTTAGGGTTTACCCACCACCCCCCTTCCCCGGGCGGTCTTTCGCACGGTGACCGCCCCAGCACGGGAGGTCATTTCCTGTCAATGCGTCGCTGCGTCGCTCGCACGGCAAGTTGATGGGGTTTGGTTTTGGAGCTTGGGACCTAAACCCTTAAAAGTTTAGGTTTATAGGGTTTAGGTTTAGGGGAAACTCTAAAATTTGAACCATTCAGGATTTTGAGGCTCAGGGCTTCATTTTTCGAGATACTCCGCACTACTGGCGTTTGGGGCAAAAGTGTAGACCGTCGTGACGAGCGCCACGGGTTCATGCACGAGCACGGGCTTTAGCTGGAGTGGCATGGGAAGCTTCGAAAACACAACTGCAGCCTGATCACTGTAGGTACAGGTGACCCTAAACTTCCTGAGCTCCCTAAACCCTAAACCCTAAACCCTCAACTTCCTGAGCTCTGCACCTAGAAGCTGAACCGTTGAACCTTCAGCGACCAATCTGGAACTCACACAGGCAGGTTCACAGGAGCCTGGGGCGCTCATTTTGGAAGCAGGCAAGCATGCGAACTTCGAAGTGTTGCATCAGCGTTGCTGTTTGTGCTGAAATGAACACCTCAGTCTTGCACGCCTGTATTCAGTACACATTTGTCCTTCTACAACAACGCGTTCGACAGGATTCATCTGGCAACCATGCGTATCAACTTCTGTGAACCATTGCGTCAAAATTGCAATGATTCCAGTGACATCACAAGCCAGTTCACCACGTCGTGTTTCATTTCTGTCTCCTCGAACATGTTCCATGCAGCATTCTCTTGTACGTCCAGTTCTTCGCCTGCCCACAACTTCATCTTCAGCAGATCCTCTTCCTGTTTGCGGTGCCACTCGGTCTGAACAAGCTGCAACTGCTCCTCTTTGAGAACCATCAGGTCTTCCACGGACAACCTGGCAGACCGCAGGCCAGCTACAGCAGATCCGAAAGTGTGAAGCAAGTCTTGAACTCCTCGCCGGCCCTTTGTTGCACCCGCCGCTGCTGCCGCCCCTCCCAGCATCAGCGTGCTGGCAGTTCCCAATACCTGAGCAACACAGGTGCGAAAAGAAAACACGACATTACGAGGTAGACCAAGAAACCAACACTGTTTCGACTAATCAACATCTTCGGTGCCAGCCCAGCAGGGGGAACAAGAGCTCCTAAAGCAGCAGCAGCGCCAAGACATGTTCGCCCAGCGATCTTGCAGACTAGCCGTTCGTCACGGGACTCACCCTGCTCAAAAGCCTTTTCGGGCACACCGGCCTGCAACGATGCTATCAGGGTGCCTGTGCTGTCGGTATCGGCCGATTGTCCGCAAGACCATGCATCGCACACTGTGTAGCTGCACTGTTTGCACAGATGTACCCGTGATCCCAAATCCTGCGGGGCGGGGGTGAGGCATCAAAAAACACTATATTTGAATATAAAACATTTTTAAAAAAGATCAAAAAGAACTATTTAAGGGATCCAAAAAACATTCCTTAATCTGTAAGCAAAATAGATAGGAGGCAGGCTAATCAAAAGATCCAAAAACAGTTTGGGGATCAAAAAACATTCTCATTTTGTAAGCAAAATAGAAAGGAGGCAGGATAACTTGCGTGTTCCAGATGGAGAGCTTGCCCTCCGTTTGTTTGCGGAATCCCGCCAGAAAATTGGGAAGAACATTTTGTCAGTCCAACAGAACCCACCAGAACTCGGGGTGTAAATCCTTCTGGCCGTGCGTGAGAATCTTCGCTCTGTGCCCGTCGTCACTGTCCTAGTCCCGAGCCCGTAAGGACCTCAATCCTTAAGCCATACAACAAATTATGAAAAGATATGGGTGTTTGTATCTAAAAAAAAAGAGATCGCCAAACTATACATGAAGGTCCATGCCACAT